GTGTTGCACCCGTACAGGACCGGGGCCCGGCAACGGGATTGCAACCCGCGATTTTGCTCCCGCCCCTCGCTCAGCCAGTGAGCGGGAACCGGTCTGTATGTGGGATCCGAACCCTCGGGCGGGAGCGCCGCCGCGCTTCCCAAGCGGCGCACTTATCCAGTGCGCCACCGGGCCGGCCCGAATTGGCCATTTCTGTCTGCTGGAGTCCTTGGGCTCTCCCCTAGAGTGAGGAGTTGCAGCATAGAAGGCGGCGAGATGATCAGAAAGGAATGGATCCTGGTTCCTGATGATGTTCAGTTAAAGGATTAATACTTTTTCCCCACTTAGTAGTTACGTGACTTTGGGCAGGTCATACTTTCCTAATGTATAAAGTAGGGTTTTACAGGATCATTGTGAGGATTAGCGATAATGTATTGTAAAGCATCCAGAACAATACCTGATACATAGTAGGTGCCCAATAAATGGATTCTTGTTGTTATGCCTCCTTTTTCCAGAGCTTATGAGATTGAGAAGCGACTGAGCACAGCAGACCTCTTCAAGTTCCCCAACTTTGAGACCATCTGCTGGTATGTGGGAAAACACATCCTGGACATCTTTCGAGGTATGGAGACCTTTGCCAACTGTCCCTTTTGTGCTGCTCCCCTGAGAGCGGTGAGTGTGTGTGTGTGTGTGTGTGTGTGTGTGTGTGTGTGTGTGTAAGTAACTATCACCTCAGTCGAGATACAGTACTGTTTTATCACCACAAAGATCTCCACACTATGTATATGAAAACATCATGTTGTACACCTTAACTATATACAATAAAAAAATAAGAAAAAAATAAAGTGATAATTACTGCTTTAAAAATATAATCTCCCTAGTGCTACCCCTTTATGGTTTCAGCCCCTCTCCCTTTACCATTCATGACTTCTTGAAACCATGTTTTCTAGATGTTTTTCATCTCTATAATTTTGTCATTTCAAGAATATTATATAAATGGAATCATATAGTATGTGACCTTTTGAGATTCACTTTTTTTACTCAGGATAATGTATGTCAGGGCATGGATTTTAACCTTTTTATTTAGCAAGAGTGGCTGAGAAGATTGGATCATAGTGAAATTGTTTGTATTTCCTGCCATTTAAGGTAAGAAGCTCGATAGTCTAAGAGTTTTCTGGATATGTTTCCCATGGGAATAAGGCCTAGTCCTGACCATCCTGGCATCATTGTGTTGATTTCTGGGATTCTTTGGATTCGTGGAAGTCAACTTGCTGGGTTTCCTGTTTCCTAGTCTGCTCTGAAATAGAGTAGGTCCCTTGCTTAGGTGTGAGATTCTTCAGGGTGACTTGCCCAGAGGGATCAGTATCTCAGAGTTAAAAAGAACCTCAGAGGCCATTGAGTACAGTCTCCTACCCAATACCTCAAGCCTTTATTTTGCCACCTAGACGTTGTCACTTAAGTGTTTAATCAGATGCTGAATAACTAACTGCTCATTACCTGTTCTGAACAGCTCAGTTCAGTAGAAAATTCTTTATAGAGCCTAAACCTGACTGTTTATAATAGCCTCCCCCTGAAGTAAGGCAGAACACAGCTAGTCCATCTTCTACATTAATGGCCCTTCAAATCTGTGTGGGTAGCAATCATGGTCCTCCTGAGTGTTCTCATTTTGAAACCCAAGATACAGAGTAGTGTAATGGAAAGAGCACAGGCCTCAGATTCAAAAAGACGTGGTTGTAGTCTTGGCTCGGGCACCTCCTAGATGTGTGCCCTTAGTCAGGTCTCTTTCCCTCTCTGAACCTCAGTTTCCTGAACTGTTAATGAAGATAATAATACCTGCCATACAGGGTGAGTGTAAGGATTAAATGAGATGTCAGATGCCTAGCATGTAGTAGGTACTCAGTAAATGAACACTCTTAGAAGAGCTGAGACCTGGAGTTGTACTCAGAACCCTGAGCATTTTCTTTGTGCCTGACAAAGGTAATAAGTCCTTCACTTCCCTGCATGGCTTTGTTGACACACGCTTTCCTCTTTCCCTCTTTAGGTTTGCGAGAAAACAGGAGACACCCTGCTTCCTATCTGGTCCATGGTGGCAAAGCCCTGAACCTTGCGTTCAGAGCCTGGACGAGGAAAGAAGTAAATATGCTTATTTCTTTACTTCCTCCACGGTTCTGTCCTCTGTGGGAACTGGTTTTGGGTAGATGCTCTGGGGAGACAGAAGAGACCATAGGGCTCCTAGGTGTAGGTAGAATTGAAGAGACCATAGGGCTCCTGGGTGTAGGTAGGATTGAGGATTGGGCTAGGATTCTTTGGATTACATTTTTAAACCTTTCTTTCTGCAATACATGCTTACTCAAGAAAATTAGAAAAGTGCAGAAGCATTTAAAGAAGGAAGAACATTACCTGTAATTTTAGCACTTAGAGGGAACTACCACTAACATTTGGGTCATCATTTTTATATGCATTTTAAAAACATAATTGCTATCACACTATATGTCCAATTTTGTGTCTGAATCTATTGGCTTATCTTAATTTTCCCATGTCACCAAAGTTCACCATAAACATTTAATAGTTACATGAAATTCTTTTGCAGAAATGTACTGTCCTTACCTAACCACTTCCTTATTGTTGCTTCCTTCTTATTTATTTAGAGGTAGTTATAGAGAATCATACAGTATATATCTGTATGCATCAGTCTTTGTCCCTCAACTCTTGATTGTTTCTTCAGGATAGATTCCTGGAAGAGCAATTACTGGATTAAAGTATATGAAAAAAAGGCTCTTGATATATACTGCCAAAATGGCTTTTTAGAAATGTACCAATTTTCATCTATCCAACTGAATACTAAATAGCTATAAAAGACAATAAGAAAGCTTTCTATGTACCAATTTGGAAAGATCTCCAGAATTTGTCAAGTAAAGTTGTAGAGTTGTGTGTATAGTGTGCTACCTTATATGTAAGAAAGCAGGGGAAGAAACAAGAATTATATTTGTATATGCTTGCATTTGCCTGAAGACACAGTCTGGAGGGATGTAGAAACTAATGAAAATGGTTACCTGTGGGGATGGGATGATGTGGCTGATGTTATTTTGCTTGATTTTTTTTTTTTTTTTTTTTTTTTGTGGCTGGCCAGTATAGGGATTGAACCCCCCAGACCTTGGTGTTATCAGCACCACACTCTAACCAACTGAGCTAACTAGCCAGCCCATATATTGCTTGATTTTTGAACCCTGTGAATGGATTACTTTTTCAAAATGTTGAGTTTTTAAAAAACAGCCAAGTTTAAGAAATACAAAAATAGAAAAAATACCAATACATAGTCTTAGGCTTCAGATACTCTACAGAGTCCTTGCCCTGCATACAGTGACCTAAGGAGACCTTTCACCCACTGCAGGCTTAACCTGCACAATCTCCCCATTTCCTGTCACCAACCTTCCTCTCAGATATTCTTGGGCTTTGTGTTTTGGGTCTTCCCTTGCTCCCTGGGCTCACTTACACCTGGACCTTCGCCTGTAATTCTTTTTCCACACCTCTCAGGTGTGGCTACTTTGAGTTTCATCTCTGACCCCTCCCATGAAGTGAACTTCATAGTGACTGTGTCCAAGAACACCAAAAGGGAGATGGATGGGTGGTCTTAAGTACTCATGCCCCTGGTCAGGATGGACCCAGGGACCAAGGAATGGTCCCAAACAACATGGCCAAAGGGAGCTGGAGGAGAGCAGGGCACAGTTCTGAGGAGCCCATGCTCATGGAAGATGTCTTTCATGAAGTGCAGACGACTTGTATGGGAGGCACTTGGTCTTTCACCTTTCCAGAGCCCCTTGTCTGGGAGTGAGGGAGCCATTAAAGTTATCCAGCTGGGTCACATGGGTTCTCGGCCCTCCATCCAGCCACCAAAATAAATTCCAGATAGATTAAAAGAGTCGAAGAGAAAAAAGAATCAAACCATGAGCAATAAGAAAGAAATGCTGAAGAATTTTTATCAGTCCTCTGGATACAGAAATGAAATGAAAAGTGGTAGAAGAAATTATAAAGGAAAAGTTTGAGATCTACATAGAAATGTAAATCATGATACTCAAAAAGATGGCAAACAAATTAAGAGAGAGACAACTAACAGACACCTTTCTGGGTTACTGTTGAGCTAGCTGCTTAGCACTGAGTTCTGTCCTCAAAAATGGAGTGGCTGGTTTGTTCCCATTGATCTCCTTGAGGTCCTTGACTTTGAGGTGTGTGGTCCAAGCCCACAACTGAGTTCCTCAGACCTCTGAATACTGTGTTTTATCAAATATATGTTTTGCAAATATTTTCTCTCACTCTGTGGCTTGTCCTAAAGTAGCAGAGGTGGTGAAGTAGCAGAAGTTTTCCAAAGAGAAGTTTTATTTTTTATTAATTTGTCAATTTTTTCTTTTCTGTTTCATGCTTTTTGTGTCCTAAGAAATCTCTGCCTAACCAAAGATCACATTTAGGTCTATGATCTATTTTGAGTTTTTTTCATGTGTATGTATATGGTACAAGATATGGATTGAGGTTATGTTTTGTTGGGGGGTTTTTTTTGCATATAGATATCTAATTGGTTTAGTACCATTTGTTGAAAAGACTACCCTTTCTCTATTGAATTGCCTTGGCACATTGTCAAAAATAAGTTGATTGTTTATGCGTGGGTCTATTCCTCATGCCTCTTGTTTGACAGGCTCTGCCAGACCATGAGGATGAGATCCCGGAGACAGTGAAGACCGTACAGCTCATTAAAGATCTGGCTAGGGAGATCCGTCTGGTGGAAGTAAGAAGCATGGGTGGCAGGAAGGTATTTGGGAAGGGCTTGAGGTTTAAGTGGCGGGTCAAGCCTCTGCAGTTGGCACTAGAGCCCAGGGGAAGGGTTGGGAAGACCCAACCAAGGATACACTTCATTCAGTCATTCATTCATTCAAATAATTACTATGTGCTTCAAGTGTGCCACACTGGGCTAGGCTCTTAAGATACACAAATAATACAATGCCTGCCCATAAAGAACTCACAGTTCTAGTAGAGGATCCTGAGAAAAGTTAACCTCTTTGAGCCTCACTTTCCTCCTCTCTAAAATGGGGATAATTGTATCTACTCAAGGATTGTTAAAAGGATTGAATACGGTAGTGTGGGTTGAGCAACAAGTATACTGCTTGGCACACAGTAGGTGCTCAATAAATTCTGATGGTGGGTTATGGTGGTGGGTGGCGATGGTAGTTGTAGTTGTTGTTATTAATATTTTGACTCAGTCTCTGCATTCTGCAAAATGACAGTCCTCTCGGATTGAAGATGATTACAAAGCCATGTTTCAACAGGTGGCATATACCACGAGGCAGTAAGGTATAGTGGTAAGAGACTCAGAGAAACCTCGATTCTGATTCCTGCTCTGTCACTTGCAAGCCTTTCAGAGCCTACTTTCCTCACCTGTAAAGTGGGAATAACACCAACCTTTCATAGTTTTGTTAGGGTTAAGAGTTAATGCGTATAGAGCCCCTCGCACAGTGCCTGGCAGAGTAAGTACTCAATAAATGTGAACCGTTGTTATTAATAGATTTTGCAGCAAAGAGAGAACTTAGTGTGGGCTGGTGAAGTAACAGAAGCACCAGAGGAAAATTAGACTTGAGGATGTTTTTAAGCTTTTCCTTTAACTCACAAACTGTAAGGTAGCATTTAGTGCCCAGGATATACATCCATGCTGAAGGGTGGTCCGAATGAGCTACTGAGAAGTTGGGCTTCTAGCTCACTGCTCACAGCATATTTCACTGCCTACACCATAGCTTACAGTGTCCACCTCCTCCCTCATTTTCCTCCACTCCCATTCGTCGAAGTCCTTCAGGATTTAGTTAAAGGCCTACCTTTTCTTCAGCTCTTCCCAACTTATATCAATCTTGTATACACAGAACTTTGGGCTAGTTAGAAGAGGACTTATAGATCATATCTGCCATTGGCTTTCAAATATTTTAAAGCAATGGAATCCTTTTTTTCAAATGAGATATTAGATAGCATAGCTGCTTTGAATAGGGTGAAGGTGGGAGACCTAGGGCTTCATTTGTTCCCCTCATCTGCCTTCCACCTACTGCTAGTCCCTGGAGCTCTGCCGAAGAGGCTCAAATGAGCCACAGAACATCTTTGGAAACCACCTTTATAGTCTAGTCCTTTAATTTTACAGCTGAGCAAACAAAGCCCTAGACTGGTCAGATTGAGGTCATAGAGCTAGATAGTAGCAGAATTAGGACTAGAACCTCTCTCCTCAAAAATCCTATAGTACTTAGAGTTTGAACCACACAATTTAGTACTTGATTATTTTCTGTCTCACGTCAGCTACTTTTTGGAGTCTTTTCTCTCCAATTTAAAAATAGTGCTGGGCTTTTCCTTTGCTCGTCTTCTCTTTACTTGTCAGTGGCTGGGTAAAGAAATGCCACCCAATAAATTCTTGATGACTCATTGTGCAAAAACTAGGGTGTGCATATGTGAAGCATCTGAAAGCCACTCCCAAGGCAGTACCACCAGTGCCAGGAACAGACCTTTGCTCTTAGCATAGAGAGAACCACTGAGTAAGCTCTAACCCCCTCATGTACTAACACTCTTGTAGGACATTTTCCAACAGAACGTTGGGAAGACAAGCAATATCTTTGGGCTGCAGAGGATCTTCCCAGATGGCTCCATTCCCTTAACCAGGCCAGCCCATTCCACTTCAGTATCCATGTCCAGGCTGTCACTGCCCTCCAAAAGTGGTTCAAAGAAGAAAGGCCTGAAGCCCAAGGAACTCTTCAAGAAGGCAGAGCGAAAGGGCAAGGAGAGTTCAGCCTTGGGGCCTGCTGGCCAGTTGAGCTATAATCTCATGGACACATACAGTCATCAGGCACTGAAGACAGGCTCTTCCCAGAAAGCAAAGGTGGGTGCTGGCCCATGGGTTCAGCCCAATGCTTTTGGGTCCCTTGGAAGAGCAGGGTTTCAAAAGGACAGGCTGTCCTGTCCTGCTCCTACCTCCCTTAGAACCCCTGGTGTTTGGCTACCAGTCCCACTCATTTAATAGACATTTATTGAGACCTTTTCTATGCTGGGCACTGTGATAGGTGCTGTGGACGTAACTCTCAAGAGGCTGACAGGGTAGTGAGAAAGATAGGAATAAAAACAAATGAGTGCAATGAAGTGTTGTGGATGCCACAATCAAGTGTATGTATGGGACCCTGAGACACAGAGGCGGGTTGATTCTATCTGGATAGGGAAGATGGCCAGGAGCTCTTTTCAGGAAACATGACACTTGAACTGAATCTTGAAATGCTGGGATGGAAAGGAGATTTGAGAACATTGTGTATGAATGTCAGGCTGTAGTCTTGACAGGTCCTTGAGAAAAGCTCTCCTCCAGGGCTCTGCCTTGCGTCAAGATTGTGGTGCCCTCCATGGGCATCCGAAGATACCCCCATCCTTTTTTTTTTTTTTAAGGGAACATGTTTCAGAAGAGTGATAGGTTTCCCCTGAACCAGCCACACATTGTCAACCTTCTGCTGTTGTGATTGTTGGGGTGGTGAGGGAGGGGCGGTAATTAAAAGGCCTTGGTTCAGGTGGTTTTGACAGTGAACTCAACCAGTGAAACTGGAGAGAACTGGCCATCCTGATTCACGTGGGAGTCCCAGGCAGGTGACAACTGAGCCTCCTCCTTCTGCAGTTCAACATCACTGGTACCTGCTTGAATGATTCAGACGATGACTCGCCAGACTTGGACCTTGATGGGAATGAGAGCCCACTGGCCCTATTGATGTCTAATGGCAGGTGAGGTGGGAAGAAGGAGCACAGAGATACTGGGACTATCACTGGCAATATGCCACTAAGATAGGGCACAGAATTGGGACCTAAGGGTTGGGACATGGTTGGGCAGGGGCTGTACTTAGGGCAATACCCAAATATTAGCAGATATTATTACTTAGTTCAGAGAAGCTTGGTGGTGTTGGGGGGGTGGGTAAGGAGAGTGGCCTGGAATCTAATTGTCAGTCTTGAGAAAGATCTTGTATAAGTTCTAGAAATTTCAGCAAGTCAGTGGGTTAGAACCACTGGCAGAAATAAGAGGTAGATAGCATACTGGTTAAAAGCATTGATTTTTCATATACCTTTTGACTGGTGACTCAATTTTGAGGAATTTAGTTTACAGAAATCCCTGTACAAGTGTATAAAGAGAAATGTTCAGTTTTCAGTGCATCATTGTTTGTAATAGTAAGTAATTGGAAACATCCAAATGTTCATTAGTAAGGGTCAGAGAAATAAATTACGGTATATCTGTATGCCATGGAAAATTTATGGTGCATCTATATACCGTAAGTTATGGTACATCTATATACCATGTCCAAGATATATTCTTAAGTAAAAAAAAATCAGGTTACAAAATGTTATAAAGTCAGGCGTCACTTAATGATGGGGATGCATTCTGAGAAATGTGGTGTTAGGTTATTTCATCGTTGTATGAACATCATGGAGTATACTTACACGAACCTAGATGGTATAGCCTACTACACACCTAGCCTATATGGTATAGCCTGTGGCTTCTAGGCCACAAACCTCTACAGTATGTTACTGTACTGAATACTCTGGGCACTTGTAACACAATGGTAAGTATTTCTATATCTAAACATGTCTAAACGTAGAAACGGACACAATAGTATTTGTATATCTAAACACGTCTAAACGTAGAAATGGTATAGTAAAAATATAGCAGTGTAATAGATTTGTTTACACCAGCATCACCATAAACACATAATACGTTGCACTATGACATCAGGATAGCTGTCATGTCACTAGGCAATAGGAATTTTTCAGCTCCATTATCTTATGGGACCACCATCATATATGTGGTCTGTCGTTGACCGAAACGTTATTATGCAGCACATTATTATATAGCAATACTTCCATTTTTGTTTTTAAGAAAGACCTGTGCACACATGTATGTGTGCGCATGAGTAGAAAAGCAATATATAGACTTTTTCCTTTATTTTTATTTTTAATTTAACTTTTTGAAGAGGTTTAAAATTCAGTTTACAAGGTTTAAAATGCAAAAAGCGTGAAAGAATATGCAGTGAAAAGTCATGCTCCCATCTCTCTTCCCCTGTTTCTCTCTTCCCATGGACAACCAATGTCAGTGGTTTCCTTCCAGAGATATCTATATACATTCAAGGAAATAAATATATTTCTTATATATTTTATACTTGTTACACCAAAATTTTGACAGTGGTTATCTCTGGAAAGTAGGATCGGGGAGGTGAAATTTTCACTTTGGAAGCATTTGAATTTTGTACAATGACAATGTACAAGTGTACTTCACAAAATTCTTGGAAAAATATAATTAAAAGATAATATGAATCTTTCTGTGATCTTTTTGAAGACCCCTTGTATTATTTTTCTTATAATAATTTTATTTATTTATTTATTTTTTTAATTGTTTTTTTTTTAAAGATGACCGGTAAGGGGATCTTAACCCTTGACTTGGTGTTGTCTGCACCACGCTCAGCCAGTGAGCTAACCGGCCATCCCTATATGGGATCCGAACCCAGGGCCTTGGTGTTATCAGCACCACACTCTCCCGAGTGAGCCATGGGCCAGCCCTTATAATAATTTAAAAAAAACATTTTCTAAAACAACAAAAGCTGTTCACAACAGTTATGAGCTTAGGAATCAAACAATCCTGAGTTTAAATCCCAGCTCTGACATGTATTCGTTGCATGACCTTGTCAAATTAATTAACCTGTCTGAGCCTCAGTGTCCTCATTATATCTTTTCTATAGATAAAACTTATCTTAGGGTTGTTGGAAGATTAAATGAGATAATGTATGTAAAGTGGTCATCAGAGGGTCTGACATATAGTAAATGCTTAAAAATGATAGCTCTTATAAATATGATGAAGATGGAGATGAAGGATGATGATGATGATGATGATGATGGTGGTGGTGGTAGTGGTGGTGGTGGTATGGCCAGAAGGTAAGTAGGTCATCAGAAGCCCTGAAATATGTAGAGAGGCAGAGGCAGGGAAAGATAGTAAGGGTTATCATCTGGATACTCAGTCCTTCTTGTTCTGCTTCTATTGCCTGCCGCAGCTGCCAGAAGCTGCTGTTAAGTGAACCTAGGGTGTCAGGGTACAGAAATATTCGCAGATGGTATTCTATTTCCTTTATATATGTATATATATCTGGGCTTTTGCGGGCAGTGAGGTATAGATGAAACAAGATGGTTGTGTGTTGGTAATTGCTGAAACTTACATGGGTGATAGGTACATGGGAGTTCATTATTTTTGTATATGTTTGAAATTTTTCATAATTAGAAGTTAACAAAAAGTCAAGCTATAGTCAATAGCTATAATTTATTGAGTGTCTTTTCTGTGTCAAACTCTATCTTAGCTGTTTATGTACTTTATTTTATTTAGTCCTCACAACAACCCTGAAGGTTAGTATTGTTATTCCCATTTTTCTAATGTGAAAATTGAGTCCCAGAGAACTTAATTATGATATTAGCAGCCAATGGTCACTTGCCATATGTCAGGCTCTCCTTGCCATATGTCAGTACATGCTCATTTAGTCCTCCCAACAATCCTATGAGGTAGAAAATAGGCCAATTTAATGACAGCCAATTCACTGGAAGTCAATTCAACAAAATGACTATTTGCTATGTACTGATTTACCAAAAGGTTGTTTCTTTTTAACTGTTTATGAGGTTTATTCCAGCAGTTTGTACTGATTAATATTTTTTACCATGTATAACAGGATTGTCTAAGCCACTTTTAAGTTTTTTTAATTTCCTTTATATATTAACAGTTTTCATGAGGTATGATTTACATACCATAAAATTAACTTGTTTTAAGTGTTCAATTAAATAAATTTTAGTAAATTTACAGAATTATGCAACCACAGTCCAATTTTAGAACATTTTTGTCACCCCAAAAAGATCTCTTGTGCCCATTTGCAGTCTGTCATTCTCATCCCCAGGCCCAAGCAAACTCCAATCTACTCTGTCTATAGATTTGCTTATTCTGGTCTTTTCGTATAAATGGAGTCATATAATGTGTAGTCTTTTGTGTCTGGCTTCTTTCACTTAGTGCATAATGTTTTTGAGGTTTATCCATGATGTAGCATGTATTGTTAGTTGGTTCCATTTTATTGTTGAATAGTTCCATTGTATGGACATACCACATTTTGTTTATTCATTCACTCTTTGGTGGTCGTTTGAGTTGCTTCTATTTTTTGGCTGTTACGAAGAATACTGCTATGAGCATGTGTGTGCAAGTTTTTATGTGGGTATATGTTTTTGTTTCTCACCTAGGATTAAAATTTTGGGGACATATGTAGCTCTGTGTTTAGCTTTTTAGGAAACTACCAAACATTATTCCAAAGTGTCTGTACCATTTTACATTCCCACCAGCAATCATGAGTTTCTCTGTATACAGGCCAACATTTGTTATTGTTTGTCTTTTTGATTATAGCCATTCTGGTGGATGTAAACTGGTATGTCGTTTTTTTTTTTTAAATAAAAATTATGTATATTTAAGGTGTATAGTTTGATGTTTTGATATAGATCTACATCATGAAATGATTACTACAGCCAGGCTAAATAACATCCATCACTTTATATAGTTAATGCACACACTCACGTGTGTGTGTGTTGAGAACACTTAGATCTACTCTCAGAAAATTTCAAGCATACAATACAGTATCATTGACTATAGTCACCTTGCTGTACAGATCTTTAGAACTTACTCATCCTATATAACTGAAACTTTGTACCCTTTGACTAATATCTCCCTTACCTTCTGCCCTTAGTAACCACCATTCTACTCTTTGCTTCTATGAATATGACTTTTTAAAGTCCCGCATGTAAGTGAGATCATGCAGCATTTTTCTTTCTATGTCTGGCTTGTTTTCATTTAGCATAATGTCCTCCAGGTTCACATGTGTTATCACAAATGGTAGGATGGTTTTGATTTGCATTTTTGTAATGACTAATGATGTCAAGCATCATTTTGTGTGATTGTTACCCATTTGTATATTATCTTTGGATAAATATCTTTTTTTAATTTAATTTTTTTGATTGGTTGTGTATATTCATGAGATACAAAACTGATTGTTACCACTCGTGCCCAAGATGTGATGGCCAGATCCATACTAGCAGCATTCCCATTACCACAAATTGTGATTATACCCTGTGTCCCCCACCCAATTATCTTCGACCTCCCTCCCCATCCCCTTTTCCCCCACTCCACTTTGTATCCCTAGGTATTTCTCTCCCTCTGCAAGTGCAACACATCACTGTGGTCTTTCTTTCCTTCCTTCCTTTCTCTCTTAGCTCCCACTTATGAGTGAGTACATGCGGTATTTATCCCTCTGTGCTTTGCTTATTTCACTCAACATAAGTTTCTTCAAGCTCATCCATGTTGTTGCAAATGGGAGAATTTCATTCTTTTTTATGGAAGAGTAGTATTCCATGGTGTATATTTACCACATTTTCATTCAGATAAATATCTATTCAAATATTTTGCAGTTTTTAAATTGGCTTGTTTTTCTTATGATTGAATTCTAAGAGTTCTTTAAATATTCTGGGTATGAATCCTTTACCAGATAAATGGTTTGCAAATATTTCCTCCTAGTCTATGGCTTGTCATTTTCTTAATAGTTTCTTTTGAAGAACAAAAGCTTTTAATTTTACCTAATCTCAGGTCACAGAGATATTTTCCTCTAGAAGTTTTGTAGTTTTAACTTTTACATTTAGATCTGTGATGAATTTTGAATTAATTTTTGTGTATGATGTGAGGTAAGGGTTAACACTCATTTCTTTGCATGCAGATATCCAGTTGTTTCAGCACCATTTGTTGAAAGGACCTTTCTTTTCCCACTGAATTTCCTTGGCACCTTTGTCAGAAATCAATTCACCATAAATTTAAGGCTTTATTCTGGACTCAAAATTCTGTTCTACTGATTTATGCTTGTCCTTATACAAATACCACACTGACTTGATTACTGTAGCTTTATAGTATGTTTATGTCTTAAAATTGAGTAGTATTAGTTCTCCAACTTTGTTCTTTTTCAAAATTGTTTTGGCTACATTATGTCCCTTGCACGTCCATGTCCGTTTTACTGTCAGCTTGTTAGTTTTTACAGAAAAGCTGGCTCTATTTTGATAGGGATTGCATTCAATCTGTAGATCAATTTGAAGAGAATGGCCATCTTTACAATATTGCATGTGACTATTTGTTTTTGTGTTCTCCTTCCCTTTCTCTCCAGTACCAAGAGGGTGAAGAGCTTATCCAAGTCTCGACGAGCCAAGATCGCAAAGAAGGCAGACAAGGCTAGGCTGGTGGCAGAACACGTGATAGAGGACGAATTTGACTTGGATTCAGATGATGAGCTGCAGATTGACGAGAGATTGGGAAAGGAGAAGGCGACCCTGATAATAAGACCAAGTGTGTCTCTGTTCTTTCTCTCTCTTGATCTGCCTGTTTGGCATTTGTTTTTGGCTCACTTGATAGACTCAAGACCTTATGCCTGAGCTTGTTGACATTCTGATTTTCCAGACTTTATAGGACTCCATTGTATACTTTGCTTTAGACACTTATTTATGAGCTAATTCCTAATCTCTCTAAATTAGTCATTTGTGGTCATTACTTCCAGGAAAATTATAATCTTATTTTCTTTCCTCCGAGTGTTTGGCTCAGATGCTAATCTTAGCTTTGTAATAAGTACATTCCATTGTTTTGTAGAATTTCCCCGGAAGTTGCCCCGTGCCAAGCCCTGCTCTGACCCCAACCGAGTTCGTGAACCAGGAGAAGTTGAGTTTGACATTGAGGTAGGAGTGTGCCCTGTACCTAGTCTTCTCATTCTGGTCATAGAGAGAGAAGACAGATTGTCATTCTAGTTGGGGGTTGGGGGGAGACATCCTATGCATTTAATTCATGAAATGTTTATTAAATGAAAGATTGTGTGCTAAGTGCTGAGAGCATATAAATGGAAGATTACAATTTAGTTGAAATATTTAAAAAATCCTTTAATATAGAGCAGAATAAAAGGCAGTATGATATAGCAGAAAGATTATCTGATTTGGCATATTTGATGTAACCATACACATATTATTTAACTTCACTGAATCTTAATTTCCTTTTCTGTACAGTGGTAGTTATATAATACCTTCCTCACAAAGATGCTATGGAGATTAAGATGAAGGAATGAATATTCTGCTTCATACTTCATCTATACTTGGTGCTCAGATGATCTTAGGGCTGGAGTCAGACTATCAGCCCTAAACTGGGGCTTTACCAGACCATCTGTGGGCAACTGAGGTGATATGCTCTCTTCTCAACAGGAGGACTATACAACAGATGAGGACATGGTGGAAGGGGTTGAAGGCAAGCTTGGGAATGGGAGTGGAGCTGGTGGAATTCTTGATCTTCTCAAGGCCAGCAGACAGGTGGGGGGACCTGACTATGCTGCCCTCACGTGAGTACTGGCTTTTATCTCCCCTTTACAGGCTCTCAGATAGCACCCCCTCTCCTGTTCAAGGGGCTAGGTCAGCCAATCAGAAGATATTTATTGAGGCATTTAAAGGGACAAAGAATTATCTAGGGAATTAGGCCGAAAGAATAGACATGAAATCTGTCCTGAGGAACTTAAGATCTGACAACGACAAGATGTATAGACTTCAAGGAGAAACAATTTTGGACACTTTAGAAGTTGGAAGAAGGGCTGGAAGAGTCATGGAAGGAGAACTGGTTAAAAAAAAAGAATTCAGCATGGATGAACAGGGAGGGAGGTTTGTCCCTATTTCTTTGCTATCTCGCCTGCTTTCTATGGAGAGACTTGAGGCAAGAGGGACTAACTTTTCATGAAAATAGTCTTTGATACTATCTTGATCCTTTAGCTTGATTTCTAGTTTTTCACCTTGGATGGTTCTCCCCTTCTTTCTCCTACGCTGATTCCCACAGCTATTATCTCTCCTCTTTGACTATTCTGAGACTGCTTTCCTCTGACAGCTAGAGAAACTCCCTCAGCATTTCTCCTTTGTCCCTTGCAGCGAGGCCCCAGCCTCTCCCAGTACTCAGGAGGCCATCCAGGGCATGCTGTGCATGGCCAACCTTCAGTCCTCATCGTCCTCACCAGCTACCTCCAGCCTGCAGGCCTGGTGGACCGGGGGGCAGGACCGAAGCAGTGGGAGCTCCAGCAGTGGGCTGGGCACAGTGTCTAACAGTCCTGCTTTCCAGCGCACCCCAGGGAAGCGGCCCATCAAGCGGCCAGCATACTGGAGAACTGAGAGCGAGGAGGAGGAGGAGAACGCCAGTCTGGATGAACAGGACAGTTTGGGAGCATGCTTCAAGGACGCAGAGTATAGTAAGGGCAGCTAAACACATGGGTTCAGATCAGGAGGGCTCCTCTCAGCTCCAGTTTCAATTCTAATCTCAGTAGAGAACAGCCTGTAGTGAGCAAAGACCTGGCCTTAAGCCATGTTTTCTTAAAATGTAAAATGGGCTTATCTCACAGGTCGATATAAGAATTAGAAATTATGCTTCCATAAAGCTCATTGGAAGCCCTCGAAAAATGGTAGTTATTTTAATTAACTATCATCTATTTTTAGTATTGTCCAGCCTTCACTGCTGTTGACTTTTTTTCTGTTTTACTTTGATCACCTATGTTGTTTGTGTTCTGTGTTGGCCAGTTCATGCCTTGCAGAGGTATATAATGACCTTTTCAGTGGGCTTTTTACATTTGAGATGATTCCTTTTTTTAAAAAAGCTAAGATTTATTGACTACTATAGTGTATGAGAGGTTTTCAAAAAGTTCATGGAAGGATTTGTATTATCTTTGAATTCAATTTTTTCCATGAACTTTTTGAAGTACCTTCATATAAACCACTTTTTTGTATAATGCGAGTGACTGCTGTATGGGTTTCTGCTATAATATTACTTTTGAAATTTATACAAATACAGTTAATGCTCATTGGCCACAATTAGAACAAAGCAGAGGAAACAATTTCTTCTGACTAACACTCTTCACCCCCTGAGTCCAAATATCACCTTTGTTTTCTTGGGGTGTTCAGCTGTCTGGTAGGGGGATCTGAACCCTTGACCTTGGTGTTATGAGCACCACGCTCTAACCGAGTGATCTAACTGGCCAGCCCCTCAGAGGTTACCTTTGTTACCAGTTTGTTGTGTATCTTTTATTTTGTGGTGTTTATACCCATATGTAGACATAAATAGATACAGGTATAGTTTTCTTTAGTGTGTGTGGTTCTATGACTTGGTTGGGTATCTTTCAACATTAGTACCTAGAGAGCTACTTCATCAATATATAGAGATCTACCTTCTGCATAGTATTCTATAGCATAGATGTATATCATATGTTTAACCGTTCTTTACTGATTGCCATTCAGGTTATATCTAAGTTTTTGCCGTTACTAACAATGCTGCAATGAAACTTCTTGTAATAGCCCTTTGTGCCCATGTGCCAGTCAATATTTCTTTAGGGTAGATAGACTTGCTGGGTTGAAGGGTATGTAGAAGGTAAATGTTAATAAATGGTGCCAAAATTTCCTCCAGAAGGGCCAGTATATGAGAAATATCTGTTTCCCCACAGCATTACCAGCAGTGGATATTATCAGCCTTTTTAATTTTTGCCAATCCCATGGCAAGATGGGGTCTGCATTTTATATGTTTACTGGCTCTTCTTTATTCCTTTTCTTTGAAATATCTATTCAGTTTTTCACCCATTTTTCTTTTGGGATGTTTGTTTTTCTTATTAATTTGTAGGAATTCTTTATATATTCTAGATTTGTTAGAGTGTTTTTTTTTAAGTCAATTGTTATTTTATTATAGAGGAAAAATATCCCAAAATATTAGTTAAATAACAATAATTCCTGACAAAATCATTCTTCAGGGCTTGTAAGTCTCATAATCTGGTCAGATGTAGTGAGCTGTCTTGTTGGAGTGGTTTTTTTTTTGTTTTTTTTGTTTTTTTGTCTTTTTCCATGTCCGGCAACGGATCGCAACCCTCAGTGTCGCCCCCGTACTGGGCCGGGACCGGCAACGGGATCGCAACCCTTGGTGTTGCTCCCACGCCTCGCTCAGCCAGTGAGCGGGAACCGGTCTGTATGTGGGATCCGAACCCTCGGCGGGAGCGCCACCACGCTTCCCAAGCGGCGCACTATAGTAGTGCGCCCCCGGGGCGGCCCTTGTTGGAGTGTTTTTTTACTATATTCTGGATATGCTGAAAAATGTTTTCTTTGAGTCTGTTGTATTTTAATTTTGTTAATGGTGTTAAATGTCGAAGATTTTATTTTTTATCTAGTCGTTTTTATCAATTTTTTATAGTTTTTGTATTTTATGTTTTGTTTAAGAATCTAAAACCTGTATAAATTAAAACTTTAGATCTTTATCTGGAATTCATTTTGCAAATTGTGAGAGAGATAGGAACCTAACTTTTTTTTTTTTTTCCACATGCATAGTCATTTACCCTAGGTAAATGCATAGTCAGTTATTGACTAGGTCATCATTATCCCCCTGATTTGAAGTTCTACCTTTGTTATAAGCTAAATTCCCATATATATGTGGATTTGTTTTTCTACTCTAGTCCTAGTTCTGTGCCTGAATAGCTATGTGGCCTTGGGCAAGCTAGTTAACCTCTCTGTGATAATAGTACCTACCTCATAGGTTGTTGTGAGGATTAAATAAATATACATAAAGCAATTAAAACATTGCCCAGCACATGGTAAGCACTGTGTGTTAGATATTATTAATATTATTCGTTTCCATAAAATAAATTTGTTTATTCCTCTGACAATACCATGTAGGTTAGTTACCATAGGATTTGTTTCTGGTAGAGCAAGTACCCCCTGCATAGCTTGCTTTGGACCTGAGGATAACACAGATGCTCAGCAAGCTCATCATCTCTGGGCTAAGCCGTGATTGGTCTTAGGGATATGCCAAGCTCCCCTCACCACCCACCCTACCTTCAACAGCCACAGTCACATCAACCTATAGCCAAGAATCTGAACCTAGTTTATTAATCAGTCCTCTCAGAACAAACAGCTCACTCAGCTTCTGCTTCCTCCTTCCCCTCCTTGCTTTGCCCAGCAACACTGGAAAGGCAGTTTAACAAGGAGAGACCTCCCTACTTATTCTTATTTTTCTAGAATTTCTAGGCTATTATTGAGCTTTTTTAAAATTCCAGATGAATTTTAGAATTAACTTGTTAAATTCCATGAAAAATCCTATTTTTTTTTAAAATTAGGATTGCTTGGCATTTAAATTAACTTATGGATCCTAACATATTTCATCAGAGGCCTTTCTGCCATAGTGGGATGTGTGCATTCCTGAAAAACCCCATGTCCTGAATATTTGTACACTAAAAATAATAGGGCTTACAAGAAAAAGAGGTTAGGGGCACATCCCTCAAAATCTATGTGACTTTGAAGCAAAAACACTGACCCCAATAATGGCAGTCCTAATAATAGTCCTTGCCCACTTATAGCCCATTGACATTTGCACCCAGCATCTCAGTGAGTGGATCCTCTGTAGCCATAATCTCTGGACTCAGGCTTTTTCCTACCAGATGTGAATTCTTAATGGTATTCGCTTAAAATAAATACCAGCTTCATCAAATCAAAATCTGATCCAGGGCCTAGTCTTCATCAGTCTTTTATTTATTTATTTAAAAAACAAAACAAACAAAAAAATGGGGAAATGTCTTCACAACTTCTCTTGTCCCACCAGAACTTAACCTTGTAGAAAACAGCTACTGCTTGTTCTTTCTCTGAGGGGAGGCACTATTGCAGGATTTTTAGCTTTTGTCTGTATGTCTTTGTATATTGAAAAGGCTTTCCCTATAGTTGTGAGAAAGTCCACCACTGACTGGTTAAAAACAACATGCCAGGGAAAATTGCTTTTGAACCAGCGCATCTTCTGGATGGCATTGATGACATTCTCCTATTTACCTTTTGGGTATGAGCAGTCACAAAACAGGCCATCTTGTCTTTCTGTGTTGAAACATGGTCTCTCTCTCCATTTATTCAGGTCTTGATCTCTTCTGTTTGTTTCTTCTTTGATTTATTCTTGTGTATTTTATTTTGATTCCTATTAAAAGTGGCATCTTTTTATGTATTACATTTTCTAATTGGCTTTTGCTAGTATGGAGGAAAATAGTTAATTTTTCCATATTAATCCTGTATTGGACTGCCTTACTATACTCTTTATTAGTGCTATTGGTTTTCCAGTTAATTGACTTGAGTTCTTGAGGTAGGTGATCTATGTGTCCTATATTAGTTTGGTAGAACTGCCATAGCAAAATACCACAGACTGGGTGCCTTAAACAACAGAAACTTATTTCCTCACAGTTCTAGAGGCTGGAAGTCTAAGATCAAGGTGCCGGCAGGCTTGCTTTCTCCTGAGGCTTTTTTCTCCTTGGCTTTTCTCTTGCTGCCTCTTCACATGGTCATCCCTCTGGGCACATGTGCCACTGATGTCTCTGTGTGTCTTAATCTCCTTTTTTTATAAGGACATCAGTCATATTGGGTTAGGGCCCACCCAAATGGTCTCATTTTGACTTAATTACCTCTTTAAAGGCCCTGTCTCCAAATACAGCCACATCCTGAGGTACTGGGGTTTACTGCTTCAACATATAAGTTTGAGGAGAACACAGTTTAGCCCGTAACATCCCCTGTCTTTTCAGCATTTATACCTCTAGCTTTTTAAAATCTTATTGCAATGTTGAGTCATAGTGGTGATAGGGGGCATCCTTGTGCTGTTTCTGACTTTTAAAGGAAATGCCAGTGTTTCTCCACTCAATGTGTAGGTCTCTAGTAGACTACTCATAAAGTTCAGGGGAGTTTCTATCTCTAGTCTGAGAGGTGTTTGTTTGCTTTAAAATAAAGAGTAGTATTAGGTTTTATCAAACTTTTTTGGCATCTTTTGACATAAATACATAATTTTACTTTGTTAATTTGTTTAATATTATGATTTACATCAATAGAACTACTGATTTTGAATCAACATTTTCTTCTTGAGATTAACTGTATTTGGATATGTGTTTAACTGTACTTGGATATGTGATTAACTGTGCTTAAATATGTGATTAACTGTACTTGGATTGTGTTTGTCTAGTTTATTTGATTAGTAGACTTCAAAAATTAGTTTATTGGTTTTATTGATCATCTCTAATGTTTGGTGTTTACTCTTTTCTTGATTTCTGATTTTATTTTATTCATTTTTTAATCTTTGTCTGACATCTTGAGTTGGAAGTTCTGTTCATTTCCTTTTTTAAACAGTTTTATAACTTTAGTTTGTTCATTTATTTTCAATCTGCCTTTTGACAAAGTGTTTAAAATTTTATTTTTTAAA